GAGCCAATCATCAAAGGAACTGGTCGATTTGCATGGATTTCGACAAAACCGGTAACTTCATCATACTTTTATCTCTACTACTTGCTTGGTCCAATGAGGGCATTGTCCCATTTAAAGTGTAGGGTGGGATTTAGGTAGTTTGTTCTTCATGTTATAAACAATGAGTTTGTGAATGTTAATGCATTTGGGGAACAGGGTTTTGTGTGTGCATTTGTGCATCTAATTTCAAAATTTTCGAGTAATTCCAAAACCCCAAAGAAAATGTGAAGTTCATCATACTTTGAATTGCTAATCTATGCGTTGATACGTGACTTAGGGATGCTAGTGTAGGGGCTATGAAGGATGTCCTTATCATGAGACTTGGATCCATCTTAAGAACGTATAGATTGGTGCTTCCTACCATCCTTTTCAAGTTCTCAAACTCCTCCTCAGGGGAAGGAGTCTTTCGTGCTTAAAGCTAAAACACGGTTGATATGTAGCTTCATACATTCGAAATCCTACCACGACAAGTCTAAATCAAAAGATAATGCCGCCGTAAATAAAGTGTGGGGTAAAAGCCAAGTACGAGGCATCTTATCCTTGGAAAAACTGGATTTTGAAAGAGATACTAGTTTAGTCTTGGTGGGGTGGTCCTACGAGATTATGTTAATTCCTCTCTGGAGATGGTGCTCCACAGGCTGTCACCTCGATTCTCGGCAACAGAATTGTTCCTCTCGTCACCGACGCTGTTGATTGATGGAAGGGGAGAGAAAGGACGGAGGGAGATCGATCGGATACTGCCGGCGAATGACCCGTTGCAGATTGGAGGTGGTGTGTAGAGGGGAGGATAAGTTAGGGTTCCTAAAAATGATTTGGGGGAAATTTTTGGCGTATAATTGCGACTAGGGATGGCAATGGGGCGGGTTTGCCTAAATCATCCCCATCCCCATCTTCCAATATCCAAACCCATACCCGCCCCATACCCATGCGGGGGAATGTTTTGCAAACCCATCCCCATACCCGTGGGTTTCGGGTACCCATGGGTAATACCCATCCTCGTACATCCAACATTATTATACCTAAAACTTACAAGAAAAGTTTTAATTATAACCATAAACAAACCTATTATATCATAAACTCAACAAAACACGGTCATTTTCTAAATACGATTCAAAGAATATGATCCTAAAACATCCATTAATACATAATATAGACTACAATAATTTTTAAATTATTATGCTCTAACTCTTGATACATTTACTAAGTAATAATTAACTAACATAATCTTGTTGACAATGGGGAAAGTGAAAGAGTGGAAGGAGAATTGAGAGAAATGAATTAGGTTTTGATTAAGGTGGTTACTCAATTGCATTTCTACTATTTATTTTCTCGAGTTATCATCATCATCATTGATAGATTACAATTTAATCCACATATTTTTTTTGATATGTGAAGAAATTCTCTTGGTGGAGCGGGTATGGGTATGGGTATGGGTATGGGGCGGGGGAGGCTAAAACCATACCCGCCCCATACCCATCAAACTTTTTGCGGGTTTTACCCATACCCGCCCCATACCTGGTCAAAGCGGGGATTCCCCGCGTTGACTGGGTCGGGGGCGGTCGGGTACCCGCGGCCATGGGTTTGATTGCCATCCCTAATTGCGACCAATGTAGTCAAAATCGCGTTTCTACGTAGAAGCGTTTTGGTGATCAAAAAGCGTAAAATTGTAAGTTTTTAAGCTTTAAAGCGTGGTTTTAACTACATTAGCTATAAAAGCTGTGATTTTGTGTAGAAGCATTTTAGTGACCTAGAAACGTAAAAGCGTAAGTTTTTAAGTTTTAAAACGTGATTTTTACTCATTGTTTGTGACACAAGCAGGGATTCGAGTGGGAGAGAAAGGCAAGGGGGTTCTGTCGGACTTGAAGAGTTGCATGTTGAGGAAGAAGAATCCAGGCAACGACAACACAAGATGGTGGAGATGGATACAGGGAGAAGGCCGAGGTTGAGGAGTGCGGCCGTTAGGAGTGGGCAACGATTCGGTTCACATCAGACCGAATCGGATCGAATCGACTCTCACATCAAATCGGATCGAACTGTTTATCTTTCGATTTGACTTTGGTTCCTGACTTTGGAAAATTTTCGGTTATGGTTCGGTCCAGACTGAAACCGTAAAATCAAGCTAAGGAGCGGACCAAATCATAATTAAATTAGTTGTCTATTATATTATGCTCCGAGAAGGCAAGTCGACTTGAAACTGAAAACCGTAGTACCCTACACGACACTTAACTACCTATATATATGATTGACTTTCCCTGACTTAGACTCGCCGCTCCCGCTCCTATAGTCCTACCCTTCAAATCGGAGTTCTCATCGGCGTCACTTCGATCAAGGGAGCTTCTTCGACCAGAGTTCTCATGGGCACCACGTGCACTGGAAATGAAAATGGAAGATTAGAGAGGCAATTAGTTAGACTAACTTTGAGATTGAATAAAAATATTTTTGTCTTTCAGTTTAAATAGTAGTTCTCGTTTAGCTTTTTGCACAATATTTTGGAACATGTGGTTTTTTAAGAATTGTGGAGTATTTAAATTGGGATAATTTGATTACTTCTTTTTGTGTAGTTACATTTTGTAAAATTCTTGTGTTGTCCTTTAAGAATGATTTTATTTGAATGAAAAATTAGTTGGTCCAATGGGATGGTCCAGATCGAACCGAGCCATATATAGTTTGATCCAGAGTCCAGACCGAATCGAAGCAATAACGATTCGACTTTGATCCTTGATTTAGAAGAAATTATGGTCCGATCCGGTCTTGGACCGAATCAACCGATGCCTACCCCTAGCGGCCGCTCCCATTAGTTGATTTTGATTTTGGAATTAGTTTTATTTTAAATAATAAAAACTTGATTAAAACTAATATTGGATATAAATATGTCGAAAGTGTTATTAGTTATTACTCAAACGTCAAACCTTATTCGATCTGCAAATTTTTTTTTCTTTTTTCTTTTAGATACGATATTCGATCTGCAATGAGTATAGTTTAAATTTTAAACAATATCAAAATTGTAGGTAAATTTTGCTATCCTATTCCACCCGTAAATGCCTACTTGACGGATAGCTTATACTCCTACTACACTCTTAACGTTTTTATGCATGCATTCTCATCCTCTGAGCCCCCAGGGCAAGGGCAAGACTTCCAGGCCTCTGAGGAAGGAGACCTACAACTCTTTCCACTAGATAACTTAAATCTTCACATGTCCCTAAACTTTCTCCAACTTTCTTTCTCTACATTCACCAGAATCACGCCTACTTAATCGTTGACAGCATGGCCGGAGCGTCAACCTCGACTCTCCGTTTACGATTTTATAGAGCCTCAATCAGAGGCTGGCCGTACCATTGCTCTCCGTCGGAAATTTCATCTTGACAGAGACAACTGATCATAAAGTTTCAAGAGTCTGGATAAAAGGGTATTGATCAAACAATCATCAGAAGGTTCATCACAGGCTGCAATATGGGTCTTCAAATCGTGTAATCCAGAAACCATATGGTTCCAAGCAAATCTTGCTTGGACGAAACGTGCTTCGATGCCCTTCAGAACTCCTAGTCACATCACCACCGCAAAGCTTTGTGCTAGGGCACAGTCAACAGTCATGTGAATTTCACTGCTCCGTAATCCAGAAACCATAACGTTCCAAGCAAATAATGTCCTTGTTCCAGAACCAACTTCTTCCATTTCCTATCAAGACGTTAAAAGTTCATGGACGAGCAGAAAGGCACAGCTCCAATGGCATCTCAACGAGATATGGGTACCTGTAGAGAAGAAAATGCAGTTCGATTTATTTCCTTTCGCTGGCCATTCATCAAATCATAACCAAGAAGAATATGATTAATGGATATTCCCATGAGAAGAAAGCATCAGGGACTTAGTTGGCAAGAAGGGTAGAAAGATCTAACAACATATTCCAAGGTTACCAGGTAACCCAGCTCGTTGCTTAAACAAGATACCAATCTCTACGGAATACCAGATAACATTTTCTAGTAGTAGTGGAATGCCGTAGGACAAACCAATACTTTAAGGGATGAAAACAGAAAGGATACTTATTGGAATGGTTATAATATAGGTGTAACATCACAGAAACAATATGCACAAGTTTCGGTTAAGGGCTATCTATTAATCGTTGCATCAGTGGAATAAGACTCACTGTACACTGGATCTAGTGCACAGAAATATGGATTTTTTCGAATTCCTCGCTAGCAGAAACCGGTAATCACCATCATTAGGGGCTTGTTACATAGATAACCTCAACAAACATTTCTAATGCACAAGTATAATTTTGCTTCTGAAATAATACTTTACTAACACAATCTTAGACCTTATCCATCAATGATAGAAATGCGACAACACAAAAGTTTAGATCAACAAAAAGTACTTAATTCAAGGGGTACAGATTTCAGAATCTAGCTTTTACCTCTTCAACATGCTCAAAGGTGTGACAAAAGTGTAAGCCCAATCGAGCTTGTAGAGCAACAACAATCTTGGTTGTTGACTGTGCATATGGAATGATAGACTGTGCAGTCCCTAGATGCCCCTGGATTCAGTCACCTAAGGAAATTCTACATTAGGGATCAGTATAACAAGTTTCCAAAAAATGATAGGGATGCTAACGCTACAGGGACAACATATAATTTCTTGCAAAAAAATTGCATTTGTACAGAAAACAAGCCATCACGCTCTTGCAAACAACAACTTTTGATGTCCATTGCACACAAATATTGAATCATCCTCAAAAATAAGAAACAAGCATTTATAGTTGAAATTAAGAGCTCAGCCTGCCCCAATTTGAAAACAGCAACTTAGAATTGGTGCTGATACCTCATGTATTGTGGTTGAGCTGTCTGTATAACTAAGAACAGATTTTAAAAATCACAGCTAGAATTCGTCATGATGATCACCAATTCCCAATCCAACAAGAGAGCATAAAACTGAAACTCAACAAATAGGATGACCTTACTTGCTTGCTTTTACTTCCATCGATCTACCTCCTGCTTAGCTCTCCCCAGCCTCATCTCCATCAACATTGCAATGAAATCCCCATCGCTAACCTTCAACATATTCGATAACGGGAGCTTAAGCCCATACTGCACCAACATTCTGTGCCTGGGCTTGATCTTACCTTCCAAACTAAACGAAAAATACTGAGGAAATCTCTTCAGTTCCTCTAAATCACCCTTCATTACCGTCTGGAAGTACTCAATTTTCGGCACGAGATTATTCTCTATGCTAAACGTCAAAATCCCGGGCGACCTGACCACCATCTTCCTCACCTCGCTCTCCTCAAAACCCAAACTTTTCATGTACTCAAGCTTGCCCTTCAGAGTAATTTCAATATTGTAAACAAGCAATACCGTGGTGTGTGCAGTAATTGCGTTCCTACCGACAAACCCTAACGACTGGAGGAATTCAAACGCCGGCCGCAACTGGGCTTCCACGCTACAAACTAAGATTCTAGGGCACCGTGAAATCGACTTGGAGATCTCAGGGAAAGGGATTCCTACCTCGTTGAGAAGGAAATCAAAGATTGGGTAAATGTCTAGGTAAGGGTCGGAGGTGAGGAGTCTAGGATACATGTCAAGGATTCTGCCCACGGCGGCACGGTGGAGGCCCATGGAGGCGAGGCAGCGCTCGATAGAGTGGAGGGCGGAGAGGGGAGTCGACCGGAGATTTGGATTCTGAGTCAGGGCCTTTCTGGTGTCGATTTTGAGGTGAGCGAGGTAGATTAGCTTTTCCCGGAAGAGAAGGCCGGCGTCGGCGGTCAGGGCGGCGGTGGAGATTTGGCCGATGCAGTTGAAGGAAGGTTTGTTCTTCCGAAGGGAGGGATTCGACGGTGGCGGAGCAGCGAGGAGCTGAAGCCCGCCATTGATGAGCATCTCTTCTCTTCCCAGTGAGTGAGCTTTCTTTCAAGCTTTTGGGATTTGGGAGCGCCGGAAAATGGAAATGGAGATTGAAACTTTACTTTGTCTAGAGCGCAAATCAGCCAAACTCCTCACGAACGAGCGGCTGGTGTTCGCCTGTTCGAGTGTGGAAAATGTCGTTTGAGTTTTACACTTTACTAATAACTTTAGCTAAGCAAAGTTTTGTTGGGCATGAAAAATTAGCTAGTGAGCTTGATTTGATGGCTTGTTAAACTAACTTATAAACTAGGTCGTTTGGAGCTATGAGCTGGCTCGACAGTATACCTAATAAGTAAGCTCAACTCATAAACTAGGTCGTTTGTTGCATATTGTATTTGAAAGATAACATTGTTTGTTTAGTTGAATTTTCTCATGTATTTAGCTCATTTGGTATTTGGATCTAAAAAATTTACCTTCCATAATGTTGGTATTTGCAAATATTTGGGGTCCACGGATTTGGAGCTAAAAAATGGTCCAAAAAATGACTTTGGACAAAAAAACATGATGGTTGGTATTTGAAGATCAAATACAACATCCAAATCCCATTAGCAAACAACACCTAAGTTTAGGTACCAAAACTATAATTTGTAAACAAAACATGGAAAAGTAAAGTGAATGGAAGGGAAGTGGAAGGGAAGGGAGAATGGATAATGATTAAAATACTAGAATACCTTTAATGAATGTGTTAGTATGGTGCTACTAAAACTGGAAGTTTGGTACCGTTATTTGGTATATACCGAATACCGTATCGAATTTGTCTATATTTGGTATTACCGAATACACATATTATTTATTGGGATTGAGATTGTGATTGAGTTTCAATTGTTATTCGGTATTAGGGATTACGGGATTGAGATTGGTATATACCGAAATATCGATCAATACCGAAATATAAGCTAGTGTGTATTTTATCTTCTCAACTAGAATCTCTCATTAACTACTACATGACCCTCAACTACCAAGAGTGTCATTTAATTATACATAGATCATTCCATCACCTATTTCATAACTTAGAAGTCCCTATTCAACTAAAATTTGACTTTCCCATTTAAGTCACTCTCGTTTCTCACCTAATATCTTTTGTTATTATCATAACACCAAAAAGCAAACACTAGTATTAGTCGTCTCTCAACCTCTAATTCGTCAAATTAAAGATTACCAATTACAAGAACTTGAGATGTAACATCTCCTCCATTATCCTTATCCATATCCTAACTATAGGCAAACTCAAGACTCTGTGCTTAGTCTCTTTGCCCTAAATTAAAAAGTAGAATCTAATATATATTTTATTTTTAATTACAAAGGTAATTAATTTCGTATTCGATAAACCGATTAGGATACCGAAGTACGATTGGGATACCGAAATTTTTAGGGATTGAGATTGGGATACCGAAATTATTTAGGGACTGGGTTGAGATTGAGTTTAGGGTATAATTCGGTATTCGGAATTTCGGTATTTGGTATTTGGATACCGATACCGTACCGATTTCCACCCCTAGGTGCTATTGCTAACACTTAAGGGTGTTAGCACCCTATCCACTCAGCATCTCACCACATATGATGTTTATGAATTTGAGCACATGATCAAATATCTTTTATTTATAATTAAAAACAATTATCTATCATAGATTGCTCAGATACTAATTACTATTAAATAACATTATATGGACAATTAAAACTTATGAACTAAATGATATGATATTATAGCTTGGGTCGATCTAAAGAGCTAATTGATGAGTCGAGGTCAATTAGAGCTTGTGAGCTCATTAACGAGCTGAGCTAGAGTCAAACAAAAGCCAATTTTTCAACAAACAATCTAAACTCGAGCTCGACTGTTTATTAACAAACCAATTCCAAACTAGGTCAAAAGTCGGCTCATTTGCACCCTTAGCTCTATCCCTTCCTTATCGAGCGACGACGTTTCTTTTATCAATTTAGTTCTTGTACTAAAGTATTTTAGTTTCTCAAAATAATATATTTACAGTTCACAACAAGGTTGTCAAACTGGTTTATACCATTACATCGGTTTAGAAAATAGTATAATTTGACCAGAGTACAATCAATTTACAAATTTAATAAAATATGTAGAAAAAAGTGAAAGACCACCAGTATCAAATAAATTTAAGCATATACAAAGCATATTAAAAAAAATCTACATACAATCTACTTTATATTAAATAAAATACATTCCAAACAAAATAACACTCATTTTATAAGCATATACAAAGCATATTTAAAAACAATCTACATACAATCTACTTTCTTCCTCATCCTCCACAACTTTCTTCCTCATCCTTGCTCGCTCTTCTTCTTCTAGAACAGATTGGAGAGCAAGTCGCCAAGCAATTTCTTCAATGGGATCACCTTGCATCTCCTCGCACAGGCCCAGCATGCTAGAGCATAAATGAGGAACGCTGTGATCTGCCACCAGAGGAATTTCCTGATCATGACCATTATGGGAGTTCTCTGTGATAACTTCTGTAAGCTCCTCAACGCCCCCGCTGCCCTTGTCATCCTCCGCCTCTTCTACCGTAGTAGCAGAAAGGTGATCTTGAGCAGGCTGTGAGCAAATTTGCTTCACCCACTCTGTTTGCTTCGCTGAGCACTGAACAGTCTGCTCCATGTCATGGAGAAATGAGGGATCGGAAGAGGCAAGGGCTTGGATTTGAAGATCCATCTTGGAGCATGCTCTCTCAGCGTCTCGAGCAAACTGCTCCACGAGAAGTCTTAATTGTTTGTTTGGATCTTCCAGTGAAGTGTAGCATGGCTCTGCAGAGTGGCCCGCGAAGGTCTCCATGGCTAACTCCAACTCAGATGGCCCCTCTGGTTGTGGCAGGAACTCTTCTTGAAAAGGGTATTGTTCTTGAGGTTCCCAAGGGTTTGGTTGTTCTCCATAGTAGGGGGGTTGGTACTGACATCCGACTCCATAGTCTTCTCCTCCTTGATTGCTCCAGGAGGTCTCGGGGTAATACCACACGGATGGTGGTTGATACCCCCAATGGTTGTAGAAGCCATGAGGATCCATGTTTCAGAGCTGCACCAACAAAGACATAACACCCAAGTGAAAAGCAAGGGTGGAAAAGAAAAGAAAGTGCAATAAATAAAAAGCTAGAGTAACAAATTCTCACGTTTCCCCAATAACCTAGAGGGTCCCCGGCAACGGCGCCAAAAACTTGACACGCTAAAACACAACACCTAACAATGGCCAAGTGTAACCAATGAAAGGGACTGCAGTATAGGCAAGTTTAATTATCAACCCGGGGTCTAGATCTACTGCTTACTCCGTGATTCTCTATTATCTAGCAAACTAAGTCGAGTGATTGTTGTGAAAAGTAAAAGCAACAAGAAAGCAGTAATTTGTTCGGGTTTCTAAAGCAGGCAAGAGTCACTCGGGATTGAGTCCCCCTAGCCCCTTAGTTAGGTTCAATTGCAATTCCCTGGGTTGATTTACTGTTGATTAGACTGCGGAAGATCCGACAGTAGCTTGGAATCTCTTAAGCTGACCAAGCCCTCTCAGTCTAACTACCCGGCAGACGACTAGTCTTCACCGGGATAGAAAGCTGAGGCTATGAACACAGAACTCCACTACTGGCGCCAAGAACACCAGTACAAAGCAGTAAACTGGCTAACTCTCGTATAGCCAATCTCCTACTATCGAATGAAGAGGCTCTAACAACCTAATCAGATTCTATCTATCTCAGGTTGCAGCAGAAATTGAGAAAAGCTGATCAGACTCAAATCAATTCATTAAACATGCGTCATTCGATTAAAATCAAACAGTAATATCATCCCAAGTCATTACAATCAAATCCCTAACACAAGGAACTAGGGTTCTTCATACCCAAGTGAGAGAAGGGTTCTACTCCATAGAGAGAGAAGAGAAAACAAGAATCGGATTAGTCATACTCATAACGATGAGGATAATCTGCTCCGGGACGATGATTTCCACTCCTATGACGATCTCCAGGCTCGATTCGATGAAATCCAGCTCTAGGACAGCTTCTAGGATGTGTTCTTCGCACTTTCTCTCTCTAGGGCTCTGTTTTTGCTCTCAAAACACGATTCTCCCACTTCTGGCTCGGATTAGGCTTTAAAACCGGCTTTCCCGAGTTGCACGGCCAGGTGCACGGCCGTGCACATCACCATTCTGGCCGTGCACCCTGAAACGCGCCGTTTCACTTAATTCGATCTCAGCCTTCTTGATCCCGGCCAGCCCGTGCATGTCCTCGGCCAGAGGCGCACGGCCATAATTGCACTTTGCACGGCCGTGCGTCTCCATGGTCTGGCCGTGCGGCTCCCCAAAAAGCTCGCCATTCGTCCGTTCTTCGTCCAATCGACCCCAGACTCGCTCCTAAGCCTTCATTCACGTACTAGGACCTGAAATATCACAAACAAGCACAACCTAGCGTGAAATCGGCCTAAAACACGAGAATCAACACCTCAAATGGAGTAAGAGCAGGGGTAAAAACATGTGTAAATAACGGTCTATCAACTGTACATGGGCGCTGGGCAGTGGTTGGGACGGCACGACACAGGCATGCTTCGTGTCTGTTTATTTTTTGTCGTGCTTGGCACGGTCCGTCAGTTTTTGTGTCGTGCCGTGTCAGCCCATTTGTTAATTTTGCTAGATCCGGCCAGGCACGATTCAAATCGTGTCGTGCTTATGTTCGTGTTTAATGAAAAAGAATAAAATAAAAGAGAAAATGAGAAAGAAGGAACAAATTGGACGGAGAATGAATGTATTAACCGAGAATGTTTAAGAAATGTAACACAAATAAAAGGGAAAATAAAATTGGAAGTATAGTGGGTGTGATTTGTCTTTGTTTAATACTTCGTCTATTTTCGGTTATGGTAGTAATTACGTATATATATATATATATATATATATATATTATATATATATATATATGGTGGCTTCTATCGTACCCCGGGTAAATTCCGGGGTATGGCGTACCTTGGGTGATCTTGACCGTACG